TTACATAATTGCTTTGGTTTACCCGCTGTACTGACGATAAAACCGACTGCAATCCTGACCTCAACAAGAAATATCTCAACGCATTCAAATTTTATTCAATAAATAAAATAAATTTTGCAAATTCCATTAAACGTTATCGTGTAATCTAGTATCATATTGAATTATCACGAAGGGTAAAATGTACTCAAGTAGGTTTGTACATTTTGGTATTCCAGTTGTATTTTGATCGTATTATGTCATCTCTTGAAGCCTGTTCTGAAATTGCCATAAAAGGTGGGGAGAGGTGCGGTAGGTAATGCATTGAATTGATCTCATTTAACGCCCCACATACATGTAAAGAGCAGATGTAGATGCTGTGAACTGTATATCGAGGGAAATATAAATGAATTTTTTAACAGATTTCTTTTATATTTTCCCCAAATTCTCTTTCATCTAATAGTAAACATGGTCGATTTATAACAAAGCTCGGTATAATATCATTCTCATTTTAACTCGATATCCAGAAAACAAGCTGTCTATGTAACTTCTACTGTAAGAGTTAGCGGAATCCTGTCATTATTAAACGACCGGTTGTGTGTCTAGGCTGATACAACTGATAGAATCTGATAGATTATTTACCGAATGCTAGTCAACCACATCAGTTGCCGCATATGACACACATTCTACTTTTTGTCGTCGCGTTAGGAATCTGTGACGATCCATTTACTCACAGTTGCTAGGTGTCGAATCTATCTCAAACGAAACTGACGATCACTGTTTGAATCCGGATTCAGTGATCTAGCAACTTGGTGTATACCAAACTAACAGACATGTATTTGTTTAATTGAAAGTAATTTGAAATTTTAGAATGGTTTGCCGATGAATATAAGAATGCCTTACAACCATTGGTCAGAATTCTAGTGAATGTCTATAGTTGAGACGTGATGTAATCAGTATGCCAGTTTAAGTGTGTCAATCGAGTATACCATCGTTAATTGCCAATATTTCAGAAACGCTATGTTAAACCTTCCTCAATTTCCCTGGTATTCATATGTCACGTTAATGCCATTTGCTAACTTGCTTGAACTCCTAACCACCCGTCTTTCCGCATATATACACTGTTCAATATTTAGAAGTTTATAGGCAACTGGACAAGTGCACATTTGGTTAATGGACGTGATTGTGACGCATTTTAATATTTTATCTCATCCTTTAAGACATGTATTTCCAGTATTTCCGATGTTCATTTCAATCTCTTTATTAGCACATCTTCCGTTAATTATTGTTCAATAACATGGTTTGGTGTCGTTTATCTATTTTAACAGGAATCTGATGTTGTAATTTCATGTTAAAATGTGCGAACAGAAAATAAAAATGTAGCCACTCTAATAAAAATATCAGTTAAGAAATATATTGCTTTGATGATAGTTATAATTCCAATCATTCTATTCAATTCATGTAATGTTCTATAATTAAGCTGTGATAACAGAGTCTAATCTATATTATGTATGATATAAGTACAAGTATTGTGTTGCCTGGTCTGAGAGAGATGTCAATAAGTAGAAAGGCTAACTTGCACTTGATCTTTTAGTTATTTATATACATGTTAAAGGAGCAGTATGCACAATTTTCATATTAAAAAAGATGTAAAATTATACGTGAAAAGTTTTCTAAAGTATGCTATTTATATCTGTATGTACTTGATCAAACTGAATTGTTTTAATTGTCAATTCAAGAAGGAGAGTTGACCTAGTTTTGGTGTTTGGCTTTATAACAATATTATCAATTAAAACTTCTAGAATAAGTAGGAAGCACATTTCTTACAATTAGATGTTTGTTTAGCTTAAATCCGAACAGTATTTTTTTTACACCAAAAAGCATAGTGAACTAAAAGAAAAAGTTTATGTAACCTTTTAAAATAGTTTTGGCGTTAAAAACGTAATGGGACACATTTCTCTAGATTTTTGGAGAAAAGTTTTCACAAATTTTTAGCAATAAAAATTCCTACTTACCAAAAAATAAAAAACACAAAAAACGAATGCCCCTTTAAACTATCTGCAATCATATGATCCAAAGTTTTGCGACAACACGGTTGATTAAACCATTATAAATTGACCCTGACATCACAAAAATAACCCACAACCGGTTTGGTTTTCATGACCCATTATCATATGAAACGGGCTCGAAATAATTATCATTTCATCATGAAGATAGTCATAATTATAATACGCATCTGTTTTAGTTAGCAAGTCTTACCAGTGAAACAATGCAGAGATCGCACGAAAACCTATTCATAGTATACTGTCCCTGGTCACAAAATTATACAGGAGGTTTTGTTTGCTACAAAAAGAAATATATTCAAGACACAATCAATCCCAGAAAATGGCGAACAATGGCCTTTAATTACCGTCCTTTTAATGAATCTAGTAAATCTGCTACATCAACTGTCTTAAGTATGAATTAATGCTGATTTGTTGCGTGATAAGAACCACAGGATTGACATGATATAACCAAGACACTTAAAATAACCATTTCAAATATATATGGATTAAACGATGTTTGTCTTCTGCCTGTCCGTTGTGAGCATTTATCTGTTTGATCTATTATCTAATTCTCTTTCTAAATGAGTTCTGTCATGCTTGAGAGAATATGAAATTCACTGCATGAATAAATATTCTTTTCTTTATAAATTGTTATGATTTTTAATATATATTATAATCAGTTTTCCAAGAAACAGTTTTAAAACAACTGATCGAAACCACGGCGCCGTCTTTCAAAGTAGCCATACTCGAAAGCTATATATTATAATCTGTGGTAGAATTCAAGAAAATAATTGAATAAAATGCCCCTCTTAAGTTTATTCTATCATTGATTTGTTCAATATAAATTAATACGATAGGTTTGGTTTGTTAAATGTCTTTTGAAACCACAGTTCAAAATTTATTCTGTTTAAAGATGGGTTCCATTATTTTCATTGATGAAAATAAAAATGCTAATGCTTATATGAATAGAAAGTAGAGCTGTTCTAATAACTTGGAAAAATACCAGTTTGTCTCACATGTCCATAATTAATTCATAATTAGCTAAATCAGAAGAGAATTACAAGCAGAATTTCAAAGAATGACCGATCAAGAACGGTCAAAAAGTCTTTTTTTTTTACTTATCCAGACTGTACATACATGGATACTTATGATTAGTTAAAATGTTAATCATATGCAATAAGAACATAATGATAGGATTAAGAATACGTGATAATTCATTAGAAACACCAATTAATCAAATAGTTTGACTAATTTGACACTAAAAAATTGGGAAACCCATCTTTAAGCCTATGACTCAATATTGGAACTAATCAGATACAAACTCTTGTCAATAAGCATTAGGATTCAGTTATCTAATGGAAAGTCATCGTGAACAGATCCAGGACCTTGTCTATAATTGGCGGAAGATATAAAAACAAGAGAGTTGTATTGGAGAGATATCTTTATTTCAAGGTAATATTCAGTGGTAGGTAATGTAACAACAACAGACTTTTCATAATGATAGAAAATGTCAACAGATTCAGTCGCCCGAACGATCTCTGGTTTAAGATAGCTCCATAAGTAATTGGCATAGATCAGATATACATTGTAAGGATATACATAATGAATAGAATAAGAAACAGTAAGTCAAAGTTTAAGTCATAGTGGAATTTTTTTTTTCGCCCAGGAAAATTATAATTTGAGTTGGTTTTGCGTGATTTTTCAATTATAATTTGCGCGGGTATGTCTAGGTATGCCATATTATGTTGATACTATAATACTTTCCCTGGTTCTTATATTGACGCCTTGAAGCATCACTTCGTTCGTTGAAAACAGTGACACTGGAGAATGTGGTACAATTAAAAGACATCTTATATGCCAGATATTGCGCTAGGTTATTGGATTTGTCTGCAGATATATGTCGGTTTTCTCTTCGTGAACACAACCGTCTTGAGCAAACATTCGCAACAGTCAGGGACAACTATTGACATATTTATGCATTATTATTTTCGCATTACTATAGATCAGGAGTTTTCATTCCTGGGGTTATTATCTCCAAGGGAGTAATTTTGAAAAATTTTCACAGTATAATGAGGGGCTCTGTAGTCTAGCATAAAATTTTAGCACAATTATAATTTAAGTCTTTCTATTCAGTCAGGCTATGTTCCCCGACATGAGTTTTACGTCCTACTTTTCTGCACCATGTGGGCTAATGAAGACAGGCAACACCATGCATGGTGTAATGAGGGAAATTTTGCTAAGACAGCGGCATTAGTCTGCTCTATTTCGATTTCGAACTGTCGAGGCATCTTTAACATGCACAGCCTGTAGCACACGGGGCGTCGGTGTATTGTCTCGTCCAAACGACTAGGCGCTTTTTCCCTCTTACCTGCATCACTGACAAGGGAATCCGGGTTGAAAAATCCGAAAGTATTATCTCGGTCTATGCCGGGATTGAACCCTGGACCTTCAGGTTAGCGAAGAAGCGTCTAACTCACTGAACCACCTTGGCTCCCCATGGAAAACCTAAGAGAAAATCAAAAGTGATAAGGATTCATAAGGAGAAGGGGTAATTCTATCGATTAAGGATCATGAAAGGGCTAATAGAAAGAAAAAAAGGTGGAATTAGAAAACCTGCCCAATGTGCAAACAGTATATTAATTCTGCACAATCCTAACAATGTCAAGAAAAATGTTGAAATTTGGAAAATTCTAAAATCTGCAATTTTTTTGTATATCCAGGAAGTGATTTTAGGTCTAAGTGACTTTACTAATGATAACATCATTAACTTTTGTAAAAGAGCAGTTACGTGTTTTCCTTTGAATTCCATAACCGTGCTTGGCGACTTCATTCCGGTGGTAACACTTCCTCTCGTAAAAATGGAAATTGCAAGAATATTTTAATAGTATGAGGCAATTCTTGTAATTGACAGTTACTTTAGTAACCGGAAACGATTGAAGAACAGTCAAGAATGCGTGACGTTGGAAAGAGGAAGAAGCACTAGTCAGTATCGAGGAAATCATCAGAACCATGAATGGGGTCATAGTCTACCTGTCGTATTGAACTATTTTTAGTTGATGTCGATGAATTAGGGTTAAAGGCTTCACTCCTCCTCGAGTCTAATCTAAGCTGCCCTGTATTGCGACGTCGATCTTTTAATGGCGGAGTAGGTCCTTTACATTGAAAGACGCGTACAAAAGCCTCTCTAAATTTCTTGTTCATGAAACAGTAAGTAATTGGATTGCAGCACGATGAAAAGTATGATAATAAATGGAAGAACGTTTTAGTAATGGGTGAAAGATGTTGTTTAGCACTTTTAAAGTCAAAAATCATCCACGTCTGTATCACATACACCGGAGTCCAACATATGAAAAATTCCAGCACCACGACAAATAACATTTTTATAACTCGTATTTTGTTTTGTCGTATCTTTTCCGGGTTAGTGTGACGTATTCTGTGCACCTTTCTACTTCTCTTCATAATAGGTGGGGTAAAATTTCCTTCATCCGCCGAAGATTGTGATGATGTAGCACTTCTCACTGAATCTTTAAAAAGTTTAAGTTCCAATGTTCTATAACTCGGCATTACAAATCTTTGGTGAGCAGGAACACCAGACCCTGAAATATAATTATTTAAGAAATTGTCACTCACTAAGAAATACAGACAACGCTAAACAATCGACTATGCACTGCTGGGATTATTATTGGAGGAACGGGCCAGATGAGTTCCATGTAGATTTTTCTCAACGCTATTTGATCTAGATATGCCTAATATTCGTCCGGAAATGAATTGGAAAAACTCATCACAACATTACAATAAAAAATAGACCAAAGTCACAAAATGGTAACTTATATGTTTTTTTTATACCAGCAAACCAACAGTTTTTGATATTACGTTAGTCGATAGCAAGCAAAATAGCTTTGAGACACTTTGAAGTCTACTTTCTGACAAGGGAAATAAACATAATTTACTACATCGAGCTGTTTACAATATGTCAAACCGTCATATTATGTTGTGATGGTTTGACATATTTCAGACGTTCTCGAAAGTTATTCTCTGATGATGCTTTGAACAATAAATTAGGAAGGTTCGTTTAAACCCATTTCTGTGTCATTAATGTTGTAGGAATGATAACTTACCATTTTCATATGGATTTATGTTAAAATCACTTCGTACATCTCGGGCAAGATTTCGTATCACACATCCATACGCTATGGTCATGATCAGAACTGGTATCACCAATAATGCAAGGTCTAAAAATACGTTGTAGGCCATCTCCCAATCAGTATCAGGCCATATTTCACGACAAGCATGAGCACCACTTGGAAGAGGTATATGCGATTGGAAAACAGCTATTGGAGTCATAATGAATGCTGACAATGCCCAACATACTGCTATACTCCTATATGAATGTGATAACGTCTGCCACGATCTTGAATGTAACGGCTGACAAATGGCATAATATCTCTCCATACTAATAGCTACCAAGGTAAAACAACTCGCTCCAACAGACACAGCTGAAAATATAAAAAGAAATATTTTATATTACTAAATAGCATTTGAACAACAACGACATATAATAGATCCCAACTTTGATTCGCTATAATTTCATTTACTAATTTTATATATCTTCGTATCTACTGCAATTTTGTTTAAAAGATATATCGTAATATTACCAATATATTCAACACAATCAAAAATATTCCATTTACTCTAAACCACATTTTAACTACATGTGCTATCAAACACATTCTATTTATAACAAAACACATTCCTTTCATTTCCAACAAACACATTATATTAACAAACACACCCTATTTTTTAACCAAACACATTCTGTCTTCTAGTAGTATGGAACACATACTATTAATTTTCAAACACTATCTACTACTATCAACCACATCTTTAACTTCTACTAAACATATCCTGTCTATTATCAAAGGCACTCTTTCTCGAATGTATTATGTTTAAAACCTAAAACTCTGTCTAGTGATAAACACATTCTATCTACTACTAAACACATTCTATCTACTATCAAACACATTCCATCTACTATCAAATACAATCTATGTACTATCAAACTCATCTTTAACTACTTCTAAACACATCCTGTCTATTATCAATCTACATTTACATGTACTATCAAACACATTCTATCTACTATCAAACACATTCTAAATATGATAAAACACACCAAATCTTCTAACAACGTGGGTGTTTTACTTGACCAGCTGATTACTTAAACGTATTGTAGAGTAGTAGAGCAGTAATAGGTCAATTAGACAATTGATGGCAATGATGAACTATTTCTGACAAAGTGGTCCAAGCGTAATCATGGGCCGTAATACTAATGTCTAAGTTTGTGGTCAGTTCATTAATGAATGAAATTACGTGCGAAGTAAAGGTGAGTTTTTTATATAAGCAAATGAAGCCAATGCCTCATAGCGAATTTGCCTAAAAATACAAAACATTTAAATGTGAATAAGGTAGATTGCCTACGGTAAAGGTGGTTACCGTTTGCAGTCTATCCAGTCCCTCACCCCATCTTTTCGCTTCATAGAGAAAAAAAAAGCCTTAATTACGGCCATAGTTTCAAACAACTCCCGAACGTCTTGCATAGGATGCATATTTATAAAAAATTGGCAAAGACTTTCGCGACAAATCGTATGTCGAGTTGAAATATAGACATGCCAGGTAATAGTTCCGGTGTCAAATGGTGTGAATTTAACGCATAACAAAAATGCCAATGATGGAGCAATCGTTGCTTTAGGTGGTTTGCAAATATCACAAAGGTCGTAAGAACATTGTACCGTGTCACGAAGTTTTCTAGATGCTTTCACGAACAAATTTTGGTCACAATTAGGACAAGAATGCGTGAAACTTTCGTACAAACTTCTGACAAATAAAATACCTCGTGAACAGTTTGTAACGCTTCTAAACCATCACCGTGAAATTTTGGAACCTAAAATGCAAATGTGTGACTATATAAATCTAGTAATGTCGGTATAGCTAATCGTTCCATTTGATACCGTGTTATACCCCAGGCTTAGAAATTACCAAGAATGTGACGATTTGTCGGATGGTACTCAATCAAGATGATAGCATGATAAAGGATTGAGTTAAGGCTGCTACGTTATGGTTAAGTATTACATTAAGCTATGTCTAGTCAATATAATTGATTCCAAATCATTACTGACTATTAATAAAAGAGCATTATCAATATACGTCTATTTACAGACTGATAATAATAGTTCGTAGTTTAACGGTAAGATTCCTATCGTAATAGGTTTGATCTACAGTCAAACCAAACTGGCTGGGATTCTGTCGGATTCTGATAGTTAAACTCAAGTACTTCAAGTGTCGTGATCAGGAATGAACATTTATTTTCGTGTAAACTAAAAAGGACCTCTTCAATTTAACAATAACCATCTAAGCTGTTTTATCCTGTGTCAGGCTTATTGTATCAAGTTTTCCTACCCGCGATAAAAAAAATGTCAGTTCATTACTATATTTTAAGAATTGAAACCGTATAACAATTGTGGTTGAGGTTTGTTTTACTGGTCATCCTTACGAATATCCGAATAATAAACTTTATTTACTTATATTCATAATTGAATCACATAATATTGTATGTTGATGTCAACAAGACATAGTCCAGTATAAACTCGTTGACAACTCGAGACTGTGTATGTCAAGATAATGTGTTTAGTTCTTACAGAATATAATCAAACTTGTTATTCCTCATTATCCTGGGATTTATCAAATTGAAATTCATTTACGTTGAGAAATTCATGCTGGCTTGTCAGTCTTGAAATCTGGCTATATTTTCTTTAACTTTTCATATAATATCAGAAGACCGCCTGAGTTTGGCATTTATAATAAATTTGGCTCAATGGAACTACAAGTATTATTTCAATTCCATGTGTTGATCATAAGAATCAAGCATTCTGTGTCTCCGTAGGTCAGAATTTTATTTTAGCTCTCATTTAGGAAAACTATAGACCTACACAAATCTAGACAAATGTGTCCCTGAACATATCTGAAAGTTTTAACTAAAAATCCTGCCGTTAATTCTTAACGCCAAAACTATTTAAAAGGTTTACGTAAACCATTTTAGTTCGTTACGCTACTGTGCTGATTTAAGTAAAATAAACTTGTAGTATTGTAAAGGTTTCAACTAATTATATTAAGTCTGTATGAAGCTTGTAGTGCCAAAAATAGTTTAAGCTGCTTAATTAACAATTAAAAAGACTTCGTTATTTAATTAACCCTTTTTAAACAAATTCAGCTTGCTCAACATAATAGCATATTTCAAAAATATTTTCAGGTATAATGTACGAGGTTTTGAAAATGAAACTTTTGCATGGCCTACTGATACTTTAAGCCTGAAATACTCAAAAGTATAACCTCAATAACATCTTTGGCCTGAATATGTATATGGAATGGAAATTCTTTGCACATTCCGTGTTTTATGTGCCGTGCATTCTAATCTTCCGATTGCAGTTCACATTTATTCTATCACAGAATAATCACAGTTGTACGAACTATTCGAGTCAGATATTCGAATGCTATTCCCGAAATATTTCATAACAACTGGTTCTGTTTGGCATATTCTATACGGTAAATTATTGGAGAAGAGCCACACCCACACAATATAAGTCCACGTGCCACAACTCATCTAGTTGTCTCACTGTATTTAGCCACTTAGCCGTGGTAAGACACAGAGTGGTCTAAAATAATAAGTAATCTTTCAATGACATAGCACAAGTTATAGTTAAATAAGACATTATGGATGATACATCCTTCTAGATTATACATTTTCAACGTTGCAATATGGTTCTCACGACGCCACCGTCCTTCGCCATGTCAAGCTATTACGACCTTATACCTTGACTGCAATTGTCACCTTTCTTGTATTATGAAAGTTTTTAATGAAGCGATATGATGTGATTGAACGCTAGCAAAGACAGCCAATCAGAGGCTTAGACAGTCTGTAAACACAAAGCCATAATGTTTAGAGCCTTTTGTCGTGGGCTCTGATTGGCTATATTCGCTGGCGTACAATCCAATCAAATCGCTGCATCCGGTGATAATTCGAAGTTCTTAATAGCTGAACACTTTGAAGTCCTGGTGAAGGTGTGAAACCCAAGATTCAGATGTTGAGGAATTACATGATTGCAGTATAACATTAGCGACATCTTAAAACAGACAATTATTATAGATAACGGGTATTCTATTATTCTAGAAATATAAGTTTCCAATATGGTTCTCGACGGTTCATGTATATTTTTTTAAACAGTCTGCGGATGGCGTTCATATTATATCTATCAACATTGGAAATAACATATGCACATTGTTACAGTTTCATACAGCCTCGCAAAACTGTTTTGTATATTATATCGTAATAAAACTGAAGTAGATACCTCAAGCGTCTTCTGAAGTTGTATATGTAATTATTTTCAGGTCGTTCCATATCACAGTTCCTGGGAATTATTGCCTGTTTGTTGTATCATGATATTTTAAAAATGCTCGTAAATTGGAAGCAAGCCCCTTGAAAATAGATCATGATACCAAAACTATTTTCTTTCTTTAAATCTAATTTAGTTGATGTCCGCTGAATGTGTTTTTGCCACTTTATCATTATGTCTTCCAAATTTGAAATTTTCCTCTTTCAGTTCTTTTACGCACAGACAGTTTCCAGATTTTAATGTCAGGATAAAATAGCCCATTATTATAAGAATTCGCTTAAACTTTGGACATGATTAACCGGATAAAAAGGTAGACTTTTTCGATAAAATGCCTTGATATCAATAACATAACAATATGTCTTAATATCAATAACACAAGACATAATCAATAACATAATAATATATGTCTTAATATCAATAACACAACAATATGTCTTTATATCAATAACACAAGACATAACCAATAACATAATAATATGTCTTAATATCAATAACATAACATTATGCCTTCATATCAATTACATAACAATATAAAATATGATGAACATTGAACATTGAAATTAAGAGAGAAGATTTTAGAATTACGAATGAAGAAATAGCAATGAAGAACATTGAATAAAAAGCCATTCGCCTCTCATAATTTTTGCTCAAAGTTCTAAGGACAGCTCTGTTATTCCATTTAGTAAAATGTTATTTCTAGCATAAACTGTCTTCACAGAGCAGGGTTTTTTTTCTCTTTGATTGACATACTTTGAAGACTAGCAAAAATCACTTCCCATTTCCCATCAATATTATCACATAAAAATCGATCTTACATAAATGCTACATTCGGTAAAGTGATTAAAAGATAGCATTTTGCGTGTAATATGAGGTTTAATGAATTGGAATCTACGTCCTACTTTTTTGCTCCTAAAGCCATTCAGTTTGGGGAGAATTTTTGGCTTGACAGTGAATTTAATTTCCTTTTGACTGGGGGCTTTTTAACATGTACAGTAGGCGATTCTACTGGGATGGAGGTATGCTAAAAAGAAGAAACTGTAATTCCTTTT